TTTATCGTGCTCACTTCTTTTTGTGCTCGTTTTTAGGTGTTCATGGCCTTCCAGTGGCCAGGAAGAAGCCCAGGATAGAAGAATGAGGAATGAAAGGAGATTGGACCCCAAACAAATCAAAGAACTTTCGAATACTTCGACGTGAACAACGTGTAGCTGTTCACCTACCTGGCCGAATCTACAAGCTGCGGAGAGCTTTCCTTAACCACAGGCCGACGAGCCAACGCCAGCCTAAAGCCCGTCACATGCCAGGAAAGGGCAATGTGTTTGTGGCCCTGCTGATCATACGCGACACGCATTCCACCACATCGCTTGCGCCAATCATATTGCACCACCTAGCTTACATCGTATAACCCCATATAGCTCGCAGAGTATAGCTTGCGCCGCGTAGCTTGCACCCGCGTTCTGCTGAGCGGCGCTGCGCTTAGTACTGCTCGCGGTCGCGGCCGCCAAATCGAGAGGATTCTTGCCGCCAATGCTTGTTCTATAAGCGGAAGGCTGAGGGTCCATGAAGGTGACCCGAACAGGTTCGAAAAGGCACGCCAGCGGCTACAAGAGGCGCCCAGGCAGCCAAAACTGTCGAAGAAAACATCTTGGCTCATGCGGTCAGTCCGCTCTGGCCCATACTCATTTACAGCAAGCGCCCTTCCATCTTCGCGGTCACACGTTTCACCGCGCCACAACCAGGCCCAACCAAACAAATCGCGAGAACGTATCGGGCGAAACCGCACCCAAACCCAAGCCAACGCAGGGAGGCCGTGAGGACGTGTCAAGCGAAGCTGTGCCCCAAACATGTCAAACCAATACATGTACGAGGACGTCTCAAGCGGAACCGCGCCAAAACCATGACAAAGCAGGCAAACTGCGAGGACGTCTCAGGCGAAACTGCGCAGATACCAAGTACATTGCAAGGACATCTCAAGCGAAACCAGCCCAACATCATGCCAAATCAGGGCCCAAACCAAGCAGATTCTGAGGATGTCTCAGGCGGGGCGCCTGGTCAAACGAGGCCAGACCAAGCCATGCCAGAGGCCAAACCAAGCAGATTCCGCGGATGTCTTGGGCAAAACGCCAAAGCCTGGCTCCATCCATCTGGCCTTTGAAAGCAAAAGTGCAAAAGTGGATGGCCCAAGGAGCTCCCTCCGCAGGGGTCCTTCAACGAGGACCGAATGGGGGAGGGTGCAGCAGCATGCATGTGGCTGGTGCGCAACAACATGCATTTGTCTGTCGATTGTTCTTCTGGCTTCGGTGTGGCGTGAGGAAACATATTCCCGGGCTTGTAGTCGCGGCCGGAGACGGGGGACACCCGAGAGGACGGGCGACTCAAAACAAGGAGGGCATGTCATCGTGCTCCGAATCTTCCTACTTACTTCTCGTTTTCATCCTGCTCATGTTGATGTTCCACCTCCTGCTCGTGCGCCTCCTCCGCCTGCTCCTCCTCCTCCTCCTCATCATCATCATCAACATCACCATCTCATCATCATCATCAATACAATGATCATCATTATCACCACCATCAGCATCATCAGCGTCAGCATCATCATCAGTATCAGTATGAGTATCATCCTCATCAGCATCATCACAATAAACATCGTCATCATCATCACCAGTATTACCATCGTCATCACCACCATCATCACCATCATCATGATCATCATGTCCACTAATCCTATCTGCCTCCTCATGTTCCTCGTTCCCTCCCCCTCGTGCCCCCCCATCAATTCGATACCTACACCTACTCCGCCTGCTTTGCTCCTCCAGCCTCCATGATGCTCTTCATCACTGTTCTCCTCCTGACACTTCCTCATGCCCTGATCCCGCGACCATTGTCGAGGAACGAAACAGCACAAGGGGTGAATGAGAAGATCGTGGAGGAGTAAGAAGAGGGGGAGGAGGCGACGCAAAGTGAAGAAAGGAGTGAGGATTGTTTGCTGCTGCGCTACTCTGACGAAATCCCTCCAGCATGCGCTCGTCCTAGTCGTGGAGCTGCGACACCACGATGACCCCGCCCAGGTAGATGAAGGAAGGAAGGAGTGGACGGGATACGTGAGGGAGGAATTGGTGTTGATGCGGTTGGATATGTTGGAGCCTTTGGAGCCTTTGGGCCCTTGGAGCTTCTGAGTCTTGGGGGCCCATTGGAGCTTTTGGAACTTTTGTAGCATTTTGGGCCCTTGGGGCCGTTTAAGCTCCTGAAGCTTCTGGAGCTTCTGGAACATCCAGATCTCTTTGAACATTTGGAACGCTCGGAACTTCTGGACCTGTGGAATATTGGACGTTGGGGAGCGTTTCTTGGTAATTGTAGTGGCCTCTTGTGTGTGCCTTAGACCCGACATGCTCCGAAAGTTCCACAGGTACTAAAAGTTCCACACTGTACACGAAGGCCAGAGAAGACTCATGAAGGTCAGAAAACAATCCAAGAGCCAGCCATGGGGTGCATTGGACACTAAGGCTGGTGAGCTTGTCCCACGGTGGCGGGAGGCGGAGCAGGCAGCCGCGCGTGCTGCTAGAGAACCGATCAAGCAAAGGTACTACAAGCCAAGGACTTTAGAGAACAGAACATCGACCCCCATTATAAGCTCCCCGACAAGCGAAGCCGTTTTGTAAACGCACCCATGAAAGAAACATCGAAGAGGGCAGGGCTGTTTTGTAAACGCCCAGGGCCATTTCATAAACGCCAACTGTCGGGGTCGGGGTGGTTTTTGTTTGCCCTCTAGAGGTTGAGAAGGACACAGCGGCCCTCGAGTCCCACAACGCGTTTCTTCCGTCGCGGTCCCGGCGAACGCACAAGCCTGCAGGGCTGGATCGAGCTGCGGCAAAGCAAGTAGCACCAGGAAGGCGGCCGTGGAGAGAGGGAGGGCAATTCTCACAGCACGCGCACCAAACAGCAATGATGTCGGAGGCATGGGCTGCTCAGACCACGTGGTGGCGGCCGGTGGGGGAGCGGGCCTGATATTCGTACACCCGGTCTCGCGTAAGGACGCGCCTGAACGTGCTGTCGAGGATCTCGGTGAGGGCGCCTGTCAGTGCTCATCCTCCCTCATTTACCTTGAAACGTCGGGGCGCCCACTCAAAGAGAACATGTGGGCACGCATAGAAAAGATCGACGAGATAAGGCGCTCCCCCCGCCTTCTGCTCCTCCCTCTCCCCATCTGTCCCTCCTTCCCCGCCTCCTTGACGCCCCGAGGAGGGGGAGGGGAAGGGAGGAGGAGGAGGAGGAGGAGGAGGAGGAGGAGGAGGAGGAGGAGGAGGAGGAGGAGGAGGAGCCCATGGAGTCCACCAAAGGGCCTCTCCCCGCGGGCGGGGCTCACACCGACCCAATAGGACGACTTGGGAATAGGCAAAGACCTAGTCGCATATTCCCGAAGCGGCATTTTCGGACGGCTTGGGCCCCCTCCTGCGGAGAGGGGCTCTCTGATGGACCTCATGGAGCAGGAGGAGGACGAGGAGGAGGAGGAGGAGGAGGAGGACAGCAGAAGGAGGAGGAGGACGAGGAGGAGGAGGAGGAGGACGAGGAGATGGAGGAGGAGAAAACCATCGCTCCTGCCTGCCCATCTCGTTCCTCGGCACCGCCGCTTCGAACACCGCCGGAGCCCCGAGGACTGCCACAGACATGCAATCAGTCCAAGCTCGCGGGGAAGTCATATGACTTGCTCTACCTCATTCCAGACCCTTGTGAGAAATCTGCGCAACCCGACTTCATGGAGAGCAGGCTATCGATTGAAATGGCGGGTCACCCCCACTGGCGGAACCAGCACAGCCCCCGAACGGCGGCGGACTCTCAGGACGCCACGCAGGCGTGCTGGGGAGAACCACCTAATGGACCGACTGATGGCTGGGACCTCGGCCTGTACTACTGCCCTTGGGCCTACGTGCGGCCAACTTGGGGGCTACCACGGGGAGGATGGGGGAAGGCTTGGGCAATCGTACGTATCAAAACTAGTGGCTATGGAAGGATCAGGAATAATGCCTCCGGCCGCTCAACTGGCCAGTCGCCCATTACCCGAGAAGGCCCCTCTGCTGACCGTTGAGGTCTGATTCGTGCGACTGTCGACCCTTTCCCTATCTCGGTTCCTACTCTTTGCCTCGTGCCCAGGGTAAGGATGTTCTTTCCGTGGCCTCGGCTGATTCGTCTCTTCTCGATCAGGTCCACGAGGCACGCGGCCTCGCACTCGAGGGGGCGCCTGGGGGCTGGGCCCACCAGCTACTCCGACCGCGACGTCTCGCGACTGAGGAACCACAGGAGGATCTCGCGAGCCTGCGCGCCCGTCGTAGCTGCAGGCCCTGACTGCTGCCTGCTGATCCATCCGGCTCGGCTTCCCTCTTGCCATTGTACTTCCGATGGCGCAAGCGAAGAAAGAGCATCGTAACCACCGTCGTCAGCGCGGCCGCCCTGATTCGCTTTTCGGCTTCGACGTACTCTGCGCTGCCGTCCAGGAAGGCCCCCGCGATGTTGGCGGGGCAGAGCACGACCGCGGCCTGCAGCTGCACGCGCGGCGGCCCCCCCTGCTCCGAAGTCGACCTTATCGCCTGATCGCTGCCGTTCTTTTATGTTGTTGGGCGCTTCGTCGCACGACTCCCGTCGCTTCCCGTCTCGACGAGCTCCCGCGTCTGTGGAGAGGCGCCGAGGTCCGCGAGCTCGCGCGCCGAGGAAAGGCGCCGCTTGGCGAGCAGGAGGACGAGAGCCGTCACCATGTTCACCCCGTCCTTCTCGCCTTCCTGGCCGCCCTTCGCGCGCTTCGCTGGTTGCCACCCCGAAACGCGGCCACGAGTGCCCCGCGCTTCGCGCCGGGTGCCGCCCGCGCCCAAGTCGCAGGCTCGAGCTCCCCCCAGGCGCAACTGCGCTCGGCGTCGACGAGCCAGGACGGGGCCAGGCAAGCGGCCGCCTAGATGCCAGCATAACTCATCCAACTGAAACGCTTCATGATCACAGCGGGGGCGCGACAGCGACGGCGGGGGCGCGAGAGGTCGCAATCTTCCACGCCCCCCCCCCCCCCCCCAGAACTGGCAACGCACCCGTTGCGAAGGCGCTCGACGCCGAGCAGCGCGAGCCTTGCCCCGGCATGCCTCCGCAGAAATGCAGTCGCTGCACGGCGCGGCGACCGAAGATCGCGGCGCTAGCGCACATGCGCCATGAAGCTTTTTGGGGCGGGGGAGGCCTCCTCGCGCCCTTCGAAATGGCGCCGAAAATCATCGCCAGCCCCGGGAAGATCCTCTGTAGCATTCCCCCACTCCTTCTCCTCCTCCACGAAATCGGGGGGCGCGATAGTCGATCCGTCGCAAATGTCCTCTCATGGCAGCGAAGCCAACATTCACAAAATGAATCGAACCTCGGGGCCCCGCGCGAGCTCGGGGCGATCCGCGATTTCTCGGAGAACACCCTCAGAGTCACGAAGAGCCCGCGGGGGGGCCTCGGGGGTCAGGGGTCCGTCGATCATAAATTCAGGCACATACTCAAAGCGCGCCTCCCCGAAGAGGGCCGAGAATTGTTGCGCGTGGGTAGAGCGGCGCGCGCACCGAGACTTGCGCCAATTCAAGCAACGAGTACCGAGCTCCACCGAGGACTCGCAGGTCGCCAATGTTCTCGCACTGCCTTACTCGCGAGCGTCCGCGTTGCTCCCGTGGCCGTCGTTCAAATGGCGCGCCCTCGCATGCAGGCGCGAGCAGCGCGAGCGGCCGCGGCGTCGAGCCGCGCGCGCTGCTGCTTGGCCATCAGAAGTGCATCGAGACCACGCGGAGCCAAATTCTGCCCCCGGAGAAAAATAGCGCGAGTAAACTTCCACGGGGGAGACAATGACCAGAAGCCGCTCAGTAAACAGGAAGCACAAAGCGCGCCGCCTGCCGCCGCTGGGCCACCCCCTGACCAGTAGCTGAGACAGGGGAACGCGGGGCCCCAGATTCTCCACCTCCTTTTCAGGGTGCCCAAGATGAAAGACTGCCCGGGCCCAGAAGCCACCGCCGACATGCCGCGGCCCCTTCCCCCTCCTACCATTCTGCTAGCTCCTGCTTCCTTCGATTCTTGTCGATGGCCATATTCCTGGGGGTGCGAGTCGAGCAAACAAATCATCAGAGTGGCGCAGGGCGACGAGGATGAATCCCGCGGGGAGCCGATGGGCGACGCGGGCGCAGCAGCGTGGATCGCCCGCGCAGTAGAACAGGCCGAGGTCAATTTCCGGGCCTTCGACTCAGCGCGCAGGAGACTCAGAGACGCATCCAGTTCACGCAAGGACTCCCACCCGTGCTATGACCGCTACGTCCCCCTCATCACCAAGTAGTGGCGCAATGGCGTCACGATAGCGTAAAACGAAGCAGCAAGCCCCCTTCGAAAACTGAAATAAACACTGTGACATCCTTAAGTCTGGCCCCGTAGCCCCGCCCTGCCTCTCCACCTCCGCCCGGCCACCTGCGACGCCAAGACGGCCCCCGCCACGACGGCCACGCCTGTGACGCCCATGATCATCCGAGGGGGGCCCATTGGGGAGGAGGTCGGAGAAGGGCGACTTGCCTGCGACGGGGAAGGCGCGGACGAGGCGCGGGCGACCCTCTTGCCCCGGGGCCCAGGCAGGGCCGACCTATGAAGGGCACGCCCACGACTGATACTCCAACGCGCCGACGACGCGCGCCTTCGCCATCGCACCCAGCAGTACTTCGAAACAAAGAGCGGGCTCACCTGACAATTGCCGGCGCGCTGAGACCCCGCGCCTTCTTCGCGATGTAGCAGCTGCCACCAGAACCCCAGCGCCGTCTGGCACGACTCGGCGCTTCGAGGCCCGCCGAACACATGCTCGAAATCTGATTCTACATGTCAAAGCCAGTTCCGTAAATCGAAGGTCATGCCTGGCGACGTCAAGTCCGAGCGAGGTCGAGGTCGCCCCGTTGGTTCCACCATTGGTCGAGATCGCCGATGTGGGCCGACTTCGCGCCGCCCTCCCCGGCCAGGGAACCGCCAAACATCAAGCCATTCTTGTTATGAAATCGGCGAAGGCCCGAGCCGTCGTCCTTCGCGCTTCTCAGACGAGAAGCGACATCCTGCAACTCGCCTCGCCCATCCCATGGCCTCTGAAAGATTGCGTCGAGCCCGCGCTTCACTAGATGCCTGCACGAAGGAGTCGCGCTTTACTCGCGGATGTCTTGCACGGAGCAGACGCAAGCGCTGCGAAAGGGTCCGGAGCTCGGCCTCCGCAGCCGCCAAGTCCTCAGCGCGCTGGCGAGAGGCTCGGAGCTCCAGTCGTTTCTGGAGATGTTCGCGGCGCAAATTAGCCCAATGAGAGCCAATCATGAAGCATGGCCGTATCTGCGCAGAAAGCTCCGAGTCCACCTCGACCAAGCACTGCTCTAGAAGTTCGAAGGAGTGATATGGGGCGTTCTGACCATGCACTCGAATCCTGTCCTCCTCCCGTGCCTTGAGCCATCGGTCCGCTCCCCCCCGAAATCGAGGCGCTGCGCGCCCGCCTTGACTGCAGCCATGAGGTAAGCCATGGCCCACTTAACGCAGGGTGCCGCGGCGAGCATTCATGAAGGCCCTCGGGGCGTGGGAGTCCGCGGTAAAGTGGGACATGATCACGAGGTGGGCGTCTTTTCTGAACTCGCGATTGGGCGCCAGCGCACCGTAATGTCTGACATTTGGCAGGTCGCGAGCACCAGCTTGGAGGCAAGAACAAAAAAAAACTATCAAGCTCGACTGACCCTCTGGTCCTTGACCGAAAAACGTCGCCTCGCACGGGCCGATGGAATTTGCTGCCGCCAAATGGTGATGCTCAAGAATATTCGATGCCATCTCCCCTGCCCGATTCAGCCTTTTTTTTGTTCTCTCTCTCTCTCTCTCTCTTGTCCTAATTAGTCCCACCACCTCGCTCCCATACTCCTCCGGTTTCCCCTCGATCTTGCGACATCCCAATCTGTCGTTCAGATCAGCGACGAAAATGGCAGGCACGTCGCTGGCAAATGTCCCAGACAATCCCGCCACCATTGCGTCATCTTGGCGACCGCATGGGTGCATTTTGGGCCGGCTCCCGTGCTGTGCGGCTCAGGAAGAAAGAACACGACGCCAGCGCGCACATCCACGAGGTTGCGACGAACCTGCGCCGCAAGACATCGTCCCCAAAGCTCTGGGGGACTGTCAAAAATGCGTCGCGCGCGATTGTTCCGACACTCTCGACCCACAAGAATAGAAGCACCACATCCCTTGCACACGCCTCTGAAGAACCTGGGCCGACCCCCTGCAGATGTTTTGCGCGCCCGCCAAGTTGGTGACTCAGCGGCGATATCTTGGAGACGGCCTCTCGTGCCCCGCAGAGGATTCCATCCGAAAGCCCGTAGCTTCGACATGGTCGGCAGTCACCCCATCCGCGAGACAACCGCGCGGCCGAGGTTGCTTGGCAGCCGAAGAATCCTCGAGCCCAGGGGCTACAGGCAGAGGAGGGGGAAGAGGAGCAGCAGCAAGAGAGGAGGGCAGGACAAGCTGGGTGCAGGAGGATGGGGTGAGAGACCTTTGAGAGCCTGGCGTCGTCATCTTCAGCGCTGGGACCAGCTCGCGGGAGAAGAGCGCGCAGTGGGAGCAGGCCATGTCGCTTCTGGGGACGGCGCTGGCATGGAGATTGCCTTGATCAGCGAGCGCGAAGGTGTCCAGTGCGCGTAGGCAGCGCCGCCGTTCAACGAGATATTGCTGTAGAGCCTCGAGCCCGCGGACACCAGCCAAGCCAGGTCTGCGGGACCGACCCTGACGAGAAGAGGAGTGCACTGGCGGCGGGCTTCAGCGCCGCGCAGCCTGCGAGTGATGCGGAGATGGGGCCTGGCGTCATCAGCTGCCTCGAGGGGCTAGGCGTGTGCGAACAAAGCAGGCATGGCCAAAAGGCTCTACCGTCGCAGTGTGGCCCAGCGTGGGGTGCGGGGTGAAGATAAGTACCCAAAACCATCGGCGACAGCGCAGGGGCAGGAGCGCGCGGGAAAGACTGTTTATGGCAGCAGGCAGTGCCGCTGCTCAGCGAAGTCCGAGGCGAATATGAAACATAGCGCCATCGACTGCTATAGTGATATTAGTCATGCCATGCGCCCCCCAGTGGCGGCAGGCGCAACACTCGCATCGACAGCCCCGTCGGCGTGAACCTCGTCTCGTGCTTCATGAGAATGCGTCGCGCTGGCCTTGTGGACGACGCGGCGGTCGCATTCCTGTTGACTTCAATCGATTGCCTGCGTCCGCGCAGCTGCCTGAGGATGTCGGGCCCCTCCAAACGCGCGGCACGGCTCACCCCTCTGAGCCCGGGATTCCCGGGTTCTCACTGTCTTGGACTTTGAACAAGCAGTTCGCATTCGAAGACCTTGCAGAGTGAAGGTCCAAGGGTCGGCGGTGCAGCGTCGGCCTTTGAATCCTGCTATGCGCCCCCGAAAGACGGCAGGAGGCACGGGACAACAACTGCGAGCGTGCGATTGCGGAGCAATGCGATTGCGGAACCGCCAGGATGCGTGCGCCGCGGGCATCCTGAAACGGTGAGCGCGCAGGGTGGGGCGCAGGGCTGCTGCGCCGCTTCCTCCATCGAGGCTCCGGACGCTGGAGAAGGGGGAGGGCGAGGAGGAGAACGGAGAAAGAAGGGAGGGACGCAGCGACTCCTGCCTGCGCGCCGAGGCTACAGGGCAGTTTTTAACACGTACGATTTTTAAACATATAGGATTTGTAATGCATGATGAATGTATGAATAACTTCATGCATGAACTCATCGTTGTGTTGTAAACTAAATCCCTGCGTTTTCATTCATGATCCGCACGCGGAGCATGTATAAAAAAACGGCACTGTAGCCCGCGAGCGGGCACGGGGCGGCGCCGCAGGCGACTTCCCGGCGCGCGAGGCGGCGGCCACGGCGACGGGCGCCGACCCAGGGCGGCGTCGCAGCCGCGCGGGGACCACCAAGACGCGCCACGGGCCCTCGCCGCGCCCATCCGCCCCTCCCGGAGCTCCCGCTCCCCATCCTCCGCCTCCTCCTCCTCCCCCTCCTCCTCCTCCTGGTCCTCCTCCTCCTTCTCCTCCTCCTCCTCCTCCTCCTCCTCCTCCTCCTCCCCTTCCTCCACCGCCTCCTCCTCCTCCTCCTCCTCCTCTTTCCTCCTCCTCCTCCTCCTCCCTCCTCCCTGAAAGGTCTGGGGGCATCCCAGTGGGTCCCTACCTCCGCCACCAAGGGGGACCACCGGGCGTTGGGGTTATGGTCCAGGGTCCCCAGCCCAAAAAAATGCCACCTACCGAACACAGCCTCTTGGAGAACTGGTCCCGTGGCTTTCCACCTCGAAGTTCCTCCTTCTCCTCCGTTTCCTCCTCCTCATCCCTTCTCCTCCTCCTCCTCCTCTTCCTCCTCCTCCTCCCCCTCTTCCTCCTCCCCCCCTGCCCCATTCCTTCTCCTTATAAATAACTTCTCACTGTCGCACCCCGAGGCCAGTTTTTAGGGCGCGCTGGGCGTTTCGCCTGAGACTGCCTCACCACTTATGGCCCTGAAGCTTAAAACTTGACAACAGCTTCACAGATGGAGGGCGGGTGGTTTTCAAAATGTGACTCTCGCCTCAGCGCCGCGCACATTCGTTGCAAAAGCTAGAAAGAGTTTCGCGGATTGAGGGGAAACCGTTTTCAACATGTGGCTCTCGCCTTAGCGCTGCGCACATTCCTTTTTTATGGCAAGAGATTCGCGAATAAAGGGCGGTTCCTTTTCACAATATGGCTCCCGCCTGAGCGCTGCGAACATTCGTAGTTGCAAGAGTTTCACGGATCCCCATGATCAAGATACCAGACCTGGCGCTTTGGAGCGAGTCAGGATTTTGAGGGTGCAACAGTTACGTTCGTTCGCGGTGCTGAAGTTCCAAGAATGGCGTTCTGGCGCAACTCAGGATCGTCAAAACATAACAGTCAAGTTGATCCGTGGCGTTGAAATCCCGAGAACATTCGTTTCGCATGCTTCAGGATCTTCAAACGGTTGTCTTCCAACGAGGCAGTTCCCTCAATGGAAATGAACCGTCGTAGGGGCCTATGGGAGGGAGCTTGGAGGGAGGGTTGATTGCAACATCGTTGATGACTCTCGGGTTTGCCCTTGTCCTCCTCCTTTCTCCCTCATCCTCCTCCTCCTTCTCATCCTCCCTCCTCCTCCTCCTCCTCCTCCTCCTCCTTCTCCTCCTGGTCCTCCCCCTGCATGCCGCCCGCTCCCGCTGCAGCCGCCGCGGCCGCGGAGATGGAGCATGGCGACCCAGGCGGAGCAGGCGAGAGGGAGGCGGACAGCGAGCAGGCGAGAGGGGGGCGCGCCCCCCAGACCGTGATGCACACCAAGACTGCCGCGGTACACTGCCCCTTCTCCACCTGCATCCCAGAGGGTCGTTCATGACCCGCATTGCTGCTGCTGTTGCTGCTGCTGCTCCCGGCATATGCTTCCTGTGCTGTTGCTGCTCACTGCTGCTGCTGCTGCTGCTCCCAGCCTGTGATGCACACCAAGACTGCCGCGGCAAACTCCTAAGACGAAGCCAGGGCGCGGAGAAATGTGGACGAGGAGAAATCGGAAGTCTCTGCGACCCGGCGATTTGGGAGGATGTCTCGGGCGCCGCGGCCTTCTCGGAGTGTACCAGAACGCTCTGAGAGCGTTCTGGAACGCTGTGGAACGGATTTAATAATCCTCGTCCTAGCCCCGTCCGAACTCCCCATTTCCACCTGCATCCCAGATGGTCGTTCGTGACCCTCACTGCTGCTGCTGCTGCTGCTGCTGCTGCTGCTGCTGCTGCTGCTGCCGCCTCCCCCTCATGCTCCCAGCCTCTGCTGTTACCACCCCTGCCCCGCTCCGCCTCCTCCCCATTCCTCCTCCTCCTCCTCCTCCTCCTCCTCATCCTCGTCATCATCATCATCATCATCATCATCATCATCATCATCATCATCATCATCATCATCATCATCATCATCACCATTAGCATCAGCATCAGCATCAGCATCAGCATCAGCATCAGCATCAGCATCATCATCATCATCATCATCATCATCATCATCATCATCCTCATCCTCATCCGCATCCTCATCCTCATCCTCATCCTCATCATCATCATCATCACCATCATCATCAGCATCAGCAGCATCATCGTCATCATCCTAAGCAACATCAGCATCATCCGTATCATCAACATAACCATCATAATTACCATCAGCAGCAGCATCATCACAATCATCAGCAGCATATCGCTATCATCATGATCATCACCATCATCATCAGCATCAGCATTATCATCGTACTCTATCCTTATCCTCATCGTCATAATCGTCCTCATCCTCATCCTCATCCTCAGCATCCTCATCCTCCTCCTCCTCATCATCAGCATCATCATCAACATCATTATTATCATAGGCATCGTAGGCATCATAGACAGCGTAGGCATCATCATCATCATCAACATCATCATCATCATCATCATCATCATCAACATCATCATCATCGTCCCCCTCCTCCTCTTCTGCTTTTCGACGGTGCGCTCGCAATGGCACAAGGCACCCGTCTCGTCTTGCTCGCAAGGCGTCATCTCCTGCATCTTCTTGAACGTCTTCACTTCTGGAATGCTCCAATACCTGCGGCTGGACGGCATGCCCCATTCCAACCAGCACCCGTCGCTAGTCATGCATTCTAAGTTTCACTTGACCCGAGACGACGGCCGACATGCAGTACAGCCTCCGCAGCAGACAGACCTTCCTCGACCAACGTGCATCCTTGCATCTCGTACTCCCACCTTGCCGTGCTCGTGGTCCTCACGTTCTGATTCAGATTACCAGCATCCAAAGGAATTCCCCCACCAACTGCTCACAGGAGGGGGGCTGCAACTGAGGCCCGATACCTCAGCTCCTGGCGCCGAAAAACTGGGCACCTCGGCCAAAAGCCAATGCCCCGTAACTGAGTTGGGCGGGTCAGGCGCCCACTGCACAACGCCTGCGGCAGTACTAGAAGCTCCTGGCTTCCTGTTGCTGTCTTTGAGGACGGGCCAACTCAACATGCATGTGCTAAAACAAACAGTCGCGCAGCGTACTCCAGATTTCGTAATAAAAGGGAGGGGGTCTGGACCCTCCAAGACAAGCCATTTCAGACCTCCCCCGTGGGAGAACCCTCCAAAACATCGTCCCAAGACCCCCCAGGCCCTCCAAGATAGCCTGGAAGAGACCCCCCCCCCGAAATGAGACCCCCCTCCCTTTATTACGAAATCTGGAGTAGATCCCTCGACATCTGGACCACGGGCTGAGGAGGCCCAGCAGCAGCGGGGACACGGAGTGCAGGCGGACGAGGAGCGGGAGGAGGAGGGGGCGGAGAAGCGAGGGGAGAGCATATAGAGGGGCGGAGGCCTCGTGCCCCCCCCCCCCCCCCCTCGGCTGGCCCGACACGCCACACGCAAAGACGTAGCGTACCGATACGGAGCTCGACGCGTAGACTGACAACGTAGGTATGACGCGATGCGTTCGCCAAAGCGTGGGCCGATACGCTAAGCCAACACGCAACGTATTGACACAGACTCTTCGAGCACGGTACGCGTTGCGTGCCAAAATGGGCGTATCGAGGCAACTCAGCTCCTCCCCATCTTCCTCATCCCGCTCGGCTTCCATTAGGTCGGGCATGTCCTCCTACAGGCGGGGTTGGGATGATTGTTTGCTTTAAAAATAATAACAGCATGCTCAAACAACTTCAAACATAATCCAAAATCGTCAAACCTATTCAAAAATAGTCAAAGAATCGTCCCAAAACTGTGTTTCATGGTTCTTGAATACTACTCCTCCTGTAGAGGGACATGCCCGACTTAAGGCTTCCCCCCCATTTCGGCCTCCAGCCTGCCCTGCCCATCTGAAGGGGCCCTGGGGCACACAAATTAATACACACAAAGAACAGGACTCCCCATGTTTTCCCATATTTTCTCGGTTTTTGTCTTCCCCCCCACTTCCCATATTTTCCTATATTTTCCTGGGGATCGACGATTCATTGTGTCTGTGCGTTTTTTTTTCCTCCCCTCCTGACCATAGGGCCCCCAAGGGGGGGGCCAGCGCTGCAGGCAGCCCCTGCCGGAGAGCGCCGCGCGGCGCCGTGGCACACCGAGCAGCGGCCCGCGGCTCCCGGGGGCGCGGCGGCGAGCGCGGGCGAGGCGCGCGCTGGAACAACATGCCGCCGCAGTAAGCACGCGAGCCCGTTACTGTTTTACCCCGGCGAGTTTGCTTGCACGGCGTTCGCCCCCCCCCCCCCCCCCCCCTCCTAAAACGACGCGAAGATCGGGACAATATCGGATCGGGATAACTCGAAATCTCTGAGAATCGGCGGGTTTGGAGGATGTATTGGGCGCCGCGGCCGCTCCATAGCGTTCCGGAACGCTCTGAGAGCGCTCCGGAACGCTCTGGAGCGATTTATCCCGATCCTAGCCCTGTTTTACCTCCACCCCCTCCCTCGCCCCTCTTCGAGCGAACACTAGCACATGCAGGTGCCTGTCGACTTGCCCTGCGTGCTCTCCGCAGGTGCAAGTCGTCTGCGGCCTGCCTCAGGTTCAGCACCACCCCCGTCCATGCAAGAGCAAACTCCCCGGAGTCTAACAAAACACCGGCTCCGTTTTTTAACGGGCGAAGAACGGTAGAAAATACGTTTGTTTCGCTGTCGGGGGCGCCTGTGCCTGGGCGGCTGGAAAGTTTATACCCTTACGATGGCACCGTAGGGGTATAAACTTTCCAGCCGCCCAGGGACAGGCGCCCCCGACAGCGAAAAAGTTTATTCTATACCGTTCTTCGCTCGCTGAGTGTTGAGCGCACGCTCAGGCAGCCTCGCGATGCTCGCGATGGAGACCGCGCCCGCCACAGGACCGCGACTGCTGCAGGTGGGGCCGAGGCGCCTGCCGGGTACGCCTTGGGAGAGCCCTGCCTCTCTCCCGCCCGTGCCATGGCCAAGGGTACGGCGGCATCTTCAGTCTCGAGTAGGCCTTGGGGTCGTTGCTCATGAAGTTGACGTCGGCGATCGGGATGTCGCGCTTCTTCCCGTCGTAGCGAAACGCCAGCTGGGAGCAGATGCGCCGCACCCCCGCCCCCGCCCCCTCCGCCCCCCTCTCCCGATCGGGTCGCGCCCCCCCCCCCCCCCGCCTTCGCCCCCGCCCTACTCCCCGCGCGCCCTCCTGCCCTCTGCGCTTTGCCAACAGGGCTCCGCTTGCGCTCGCGACAAACAAGTGTCTCACCAGGCCGGGATGTCCTGAACGCCGCGGCACGACTCGAAAGGTGGAGGGGCCGCGCTCCCCTCCCCCCCCCCCCCCCTCCTCGCTCCTGCCCCACCGCCGCGCCCCCTCCTGTCCTGTGCACTCTGCCAACAATCCAGGGGAGGAACAGCCACCCGGACCCGATCATCGGCGTTGTCCCAGCGGCCCGGGGCGTTTACGAAACGGCCCTGTCCTCCTCGATGCCTTCGGCGGGTGCGCTTGCCGAACGCTCCGCGTGTCGGCCCGATTATTATGGGGGTGGGTGCTCTGCCCTCGAGGAGGAGCTCCGCCTGCACTGGAGCCGAACAGGAGTCGCAGCAGGCCGGGGGTGCCCTTGTCGTGGCGGCACGCCGCGGACCGCGGAGGGCGCCCGCGCCCGGGGACTCGTGCCGTGACCCTCCGCCGAGGCCTCGGAGGCTCCCGAGGGCTGGCCCTCGGGCGCCCCCTGCCCGATCCCCCCTCCTTTCGTCCCTCCCTCCCTCCCTTCCTGCTTCGCCCCTTCCGCGCTCCCTTCCCGATTCGCCCTTTCGCCCCCGCCTGATCCGCCTCGTTCGAAGAAGCAGAAGCACCGTAACCATCGTAAACTTGTGGCGCTCCGCGCGGATGTCTTGGATCCGCGCCAGACACGGAGCGCGCCAGGGGCGACGCTGGAGGCGACGCCAGGCGGCCCAGCGCGGATCCAAGAAAACCGAATGGGGCGCAACAAGTTCATGTCTATGGCATTGGTTCGTCTTCGATTAATGCCGCCAGCCACTCCCAGCCCCTTCCTTCCATCTCTGCCTCCCCCTGGGAGGCTGAAGCAAAGAGTGTGCTGGCGAGGAGCCCCGCCCCTGCCTCTTGCTCGCAACACCGCCCGCAGGACGAATCGGGGGTTGAAGCATGGGGACAGACAGGGGCTCGAATGCCGATGGCGTCAGTGATGTTGATGCCGACACCCACAGCACCAGCCTGTGCGTTGGATAATTCGCAGTGGCGATGGAATCTTCTATGTCCTGCGGCACTTGTTCAAATTCGGTGGATCAGCGCGTGCAGCGTGACCTACGTCGTTCAAGTCCAAATGAATCCGTTGGCTGATGATTTCCTCGAGATGAAGAAGCGTGTTTGTTTAGTTTGTTATGTTTGGGACTGCTCTGGGTGCAGACCTGAGTATACAAACGATCCAGCTGATACATGAGTATGCAAACGTTTCTGTGGGGCGAGAGCTACCCTTGGAGCAAGGGACCATGTGATACGTGGATCATTGTGGTTGCGGACCGCACTACTCGAATGCCAGAGTGAGAGCCTTGGATGGGACCACCCACCAAAAGCGCACAGCATGCTTGTGGTCCAGTTTTCAGAATGCGAACTACCTAATGCTAAGGGTTTAGAAGGATCCTTCGGGAAGGAATTAGAAGATAGTTGAAGATGATTACGTACGCTAGTGCCAATCATTTTGAGATGCTCGTCGCCTCGAGATGGTGCGAGAGGCTCCGCAATGTTCTGATCCCAGGAAAAGAGCCCCACACCCCCAATCTTCTGTTGATATTGCCTAGGGGTACCTGCCAGGGAAGAGACTGATAGTGATTTGAGGTACTGGCTGTGCCTCCAAAACAAATCAAAGAGCAACTGGTGGCGACAGAGAAGCAGGCTGACAGGCTGACATGATAAACCCAAGCGGTAGCACTCTCATTGCAAACCAAGCGCATCTCCTGCTGCTCCCGGCAGTTCCCGACCTTGCTTGCGAAAGTGCAGTAGCCGACCAAGCGATCGCAATGCCAATTTGCAAATGTTCGGCAGAACGTCCCGGGGGGGCCAACCAAGTCGCTCCATCATAACCATGCAGGGAAGCTGTGTGCCTGCTGTGATCAACCAACTGAGCATACTCCTGATAATCCCGCTCCCCACTTTCCTCCCCCTCCCCCTCCCCCTCACTGCGCAGACTGGTGTGTTTCCAAACGGGGTCATACACATACGTACAAAGTACCACACACAACACATGACACACCATGCATACACATCCCCCAACACAGTCGGCACCACACGCCCGACACCACACATCAAACACTACACACACACTTTCTCTAGGAACGTGGATGTATCCAGCCCGCAGGCGGCAGGACATCCTGCGAAATCACCTGAAGCAAGCATGCGAGTCGCAATCAAGTGACCGCGAAAGGTGGCTCCTCAGGGGCCCAGCCAAATAATGTGCTAGAGGTCACGCGAGAGAAAAGAGCCGGCATCCTGGCAACTCCATCAACAAAAAACGCTCGCAGTGGGCTACAAAAACGACAGAGGGGACATGCAGCGTGCGCACGTCAAGCAGCAGTACTCGAACTATCGGTGCTAGTGAAGCGAGGGCGCATAGCTGTACAAAGGCGAGTTCGGGTCTCGTTGGGCTCGGAAGCCGCCTCGACTCAGAACAGCGCGCTGCGCCTCCCAGCGCGCCGAGAAGTAAGGCTGCCGAGGTACGGCAGGGCGCGCCGGGGCGGCCGGGCCGGCGCTCTCCCCACGAGCCAGGAGAGCACCACGGCCCCGCCCGCGATCGACGCGGATGCCACCAAGGAGGAGATCAGGCGTGCGCAGGGTGCCTGCTCACTGCAGCTTTGCAGGTGGGCCAGGCGCGCACGGGGGAGCACTCCGCTGTCCTCACCCTCCGCTCCGCTGTCCTCACCCTCCGCCTCTGGCCATCGCTCGGACGCCCATTCCCCGTGCTTTGTTCGGTTTCGTGCGTGGCTTTTTCGCCAAGCCATCTATGGATGCTCCTCGATGGTCCTCGCCGAAAGAAACAGGCACACGTCCGAGCGATGCCGAGGGCCTCCTCCCTGGGGGAGGAGGAGGAGGAGGAGGAGGAGGAGGAGGAGGAGGAGGAGGAGGGGAGGAGGAGGAGGAGGGGGAGGAGGAGGGGGGAGGAGGAGGAGGAGGAGGAGGAGGAGGAGGAGGAGGAGGAGCTGCTCCAGGTCGGGCCTCCTCCCCCTCCTCGGTCGTGCTCTCCTGCGCAAAGGTCGGCCCTCCGACCCCCTGCCGGGGGCACGTGCTGACGAAGATATTCCAGGGTTGAGCAGCTCCTCCTCCTCCTCCTCCTCCTCCTCCTCCTCCTCCTCCTCCTCCTCCTCCTCCCTCGTCCTCCTCCTCCTCCTCCTCCTCCTCCTCCTCCTCCTCCAGGGTTGACGGCGGCGACGCGGGCCTACCCTTAGGTCGGGCCTGTCCCCCTACAGGGGGATTTTCGACGAAAGATACAAAATCCAAAAATAGTCTGGAGACGATGTTTTGACTCTTTTTGGACCTTCTTGGGGTATGTTTGGTTATTTTTTTTATTTTTCGTCGACAATCCCGTTGTAGAGGGGGACAAGCCCGACATAAGCCTACCCAAGATCACAGGAGGGGTCCCGACGGAACTGGGTCACTTGCACTGGGGACCTCCCCAGGAATAGAGTTTCGTCCTGAGCCTTATTCAGACGCCCCGAGGGTCCAGAGGGGGGGGGGCCGAAGAGCCCGCAAACGACGAAAGACATCAAGACCCCTTGTCCCCATGGCTCCTTCTTTCGGCGGCGCGCCGAGGGGGGAAGTGAGAGGGGACAGACAATATCCGCCACCGTGCCGCTGGGCACGGAGTGGGCGTGTCCTCAGGTCCTTTGCCCAATTCCCTGAGCCTCAGTCCTCACTCCTGAGGAGTCTTTAATCGGGGGCGCGCAAGCATGGATTAGCGATCCATGGATTTGGCGCGCGGTTGCCAAATCCATGGATCGGGGGAGGTGCCCTCCCCAAAATGCGGCCAATGCAGCCTCGTTTGGCGGCGGAAATCCGCGATTCCCTATGGAAACGGGACCCGTCGCTAATCCACGCTCCCTTAATCCATGTTCGCGATCGCCTGACAATCCCCTGAGCCTCAGTCCTCACTCCTGAAGGGTCTTTGAGGAACCCGCAGCCCGGGGCTTTCCGCGTGCCCCCCTGGGCTCAGGGAAGTGCTGTCGCACGCCTTTTTCTTCCTGGCCCAGGAGGGCCCCAAGATGGGCCCCAAGATGGGCCCCATGAGGCTCCCCGTCCTCCTCCTCCTCCTCCTCCTCCTCCCCCTTCTCCTCCTCCTCCTCCTCCTCCTCCTCCTCCTCCCCCTCCTCCCTCCCCCTCCCACTCCTCCTCCTCCTCCTCCTCCTCCTCCTCTCCTCCTCCTCCTCCTCCTCCTCCTCCTCCTCCTCTCCTCCTCCTCCTCCTCCTCCTCCTCCTCCTCCTCCTCCTCCCTCCTCTCCTCCTCCTTCCTCCCCCTCCTCTTCCTCCTCCATCTCCTCCTCGTCTCCTCCTCCTCCCCCTCCTCCTCCTCCTCCTCCTCCTCCTCCTCCTCCTCCCTCCTCCTCCCCTCCTCCTCCTCACTCTACTCCTCCCTCCTCCTCGTCCTCCTCGTCCTCCTCGTCCTCCTCCTCCTCCTCCTCCTCCTCCTCCTCCTCCTCCTCCTCCTCCTCCAAGAGGGGGCCTCGTGTCGCCGAATGATCGCTCCAAGACGCCCAAGATGGCCCTGAGACGGTCCAAGAAGCTGCCAAGATGCCCCAGGCTGCCTCCAAGAGGCCTCCCAGGAGGGCCCCAAGAGGCAAGCATCGTTGATGTCCCGATGGTTTTGGAAACAATTCAGCGTTTTCGCCTTTGCGGCTTTCCAAGGCTTCCAGCCGGCCGAAGAGGCCCAGGCTCCTGGCTCGTGCGCGTTACAATGTAGGCGTTGTTTGGCCGTGGCTCGGTCCCCTGCCAGTGTGAAGACGCTTTTGAAGCAAGTGGCCAAGTGTGAGTGACTACCTACCAGACCACCCCAACCCAACCCGAAGACCCGAATTTCGGGTTGGGGGGGGGTACGGGTTCCATATGTGTTTTCTCGAGGTTCCCCGACCCCCCCCCCAACTGGAAATGGAGGTCAAATCGAGACCTTCGGGTTGGGTTGGGGTGGTTTGGTGGGTGGTGAGTGAGCCGTCGCCCATGCTCCAGGCTCTCGCCCTAGCTGTGGAGCAGCTCGGGTGGCGTGCCCAAAGGGGACGGGGAGGCTGCGGGGGATGCTGCTGCTGCTGCTGCCGACGGGGCGGTGGGGACTGGGACCCTCTTCGAATGTGATGGCCATAAGGTCCAGCTTTCGAGACCATACTTATTTTGTGTTCGGTGTGGGGCTCGTGTGGCCATCGGTTCTCCCAAAATCGATGCCCTTGGGGATGTCTGCCCCTCGCGCCCCCCGAACCCCGCCCGCCATAGAGCCAGGGACTGGCTCGTCGACCGGCGGCACCCAGCAACTGGAGCTAAGCTTTAGTTCAATTCGTTTGGCCTCTCTGGCGTGTGATAGCGGTCTGACCTCGCACGCAACACCACTTTCCTTGTAAGTCGTAATTAATTCACAGAGGTGGTTGCTGCCATGATTCCATTTTCTATGCGGCGTGCATCATGCGTCCTCCGCCTCCTCCCGATCTTCCCCGCCGTCCTCCCCCAGGTGTTCCCCGAAGGGTTTCCACAACGGCTGGGGGGAACACATGGTCCGACAGCTTGGCAGAGCTCTTGCCACAACTCTCGGCCACATGGTTATGTTGCTCCCATCGTACTTAATGACCACATCCCAAAAATATTTTCGAACGCCCAGAGAAATGTCAAAAGAGTGTCGAGACAGTGTCGGACGAGTGTCTCCCAGGGCCCGACACGTGAAAACCCTCGAGATTCGGCATTTTCTGGTGATCGAAATACTTTCTGGTGATCAAGGCTAAAGTAGGTTGCCTCCTCCTCCTCCTCCTCCTCCTCCTCCTCCTCCTCCTCCTCCTCTGCCTTCCCCCCTTGGCGTGCCGCCGAAGGCTGCACCCTGGACCCCCAAGGATCCGGAAAAGGGACTCTGCGGAACGCTCCGGCACCGTGTGGGAACGTTGTCTGGCCCCCGCTGCGCCTCCGGAAGCCTCCGAGGGCGTGCGGAGGCCGGGAGTCCAGAGGAGGAGGAGGAGGGAGGAGGAGGGAGGAGGGAGGAGGAGGAGGCGGAGGGGGAGGAGGGGGAGGAGGAGGAGGAGGAGGAGGAGGAGGAGGAGGAGGAGGAGGGGGAGGAGGAGGAGACACTCAAATTCACCACACCCTGCCCCCCCCCCCGCCCCAGACCTCCGCTGCACACATTTCTCGTCGGCGGCGAGGCAGAGGCGGTCCGCACCAGCGTGAGGCTCATCGGGGCAGCCGGAAGGCGAATGGTCCGGCGTGCAAGAGGAAGGAGAGAAGACGAGGGAGGCCGAAATCCTCCGCTGCAGGCACGGGCCGAGGGGGCCTCAGACTCCCCTGCTCGTCCTGCCCGCTCTCCTGCTCTGACCTCCAGCGGCTCGGTGCCTTCGGCACGCAAGCCAACCAAAAACTCTCGACTCCTTCCTGCGGCCAGCTTCTCACGCTGAGCGCTGTGTTCTGTCTCGCGGTCTCGGGGCCCAGAATTGGCGGCGAGCCGGGGGGGGGGGGAAGTGAGAAGGAGAAGGCCTTCTCAGAGGGCTCGGAAGTCCCCCGGCCTTCTGAGAAGTGTCCCGAGTCTCCCACGAAGACACACGGGAAACTTCTCAGAAGACGCGACGGCTTCTGAGAAGCCCCGCCGCCTTCTGAGATGGCTTGCTCATTCTCACTTTCCCCCCCGAGCGCGCCACCGAAGTTGGTTCTTGGGTATTGGCTCGGGTCTCCGGCGGCCGTTCGGGACGATCCGGGCACCCCTGGAACGCTCTCGGCGAGGCGCAGCCGCTGGAACGCATCCCGAGGGTAGAAGACCACCGAGAACCAACGAAAACGCCCAAACCTCGAACCTCGAACCTCGAACCTGGAACTCCCCTCCCTCGCTTGCCCCCGAGCTCTGTCTCGCGGCCTCGGGGCCGAGATCAGCAGCTGCCAGGCGCGCATCTGTTCGTTCACTGGCAGTGCGCACAAGGGGGGGGGAGGGAGGGGAGAGGTCTTCTTAGAAGGAGTCTGCGTCTTAGAAGGCGCTGGCCTTCCATCTACGGATAGGGCCCGCGCCTTCTGAGAAGCAGGGGTGCTTCTAAGAAACTCTCCCCCCTCCCCCCCACCCCCCTCTGCGCGTGGCTGAGTTTATTTCTAGGTGCATTCAGACCGCTCATTATGCATGTACAAATGTGTGTCTGCATCTCTTCAGATGCAGATCGGCAAATACCTTCGCGGGCCATAAGGCGGGCCAGGATCTGGGCAGGGGTCGTGCGAGGTAGGCGGGTGCTGGGGCTGGAAGCATGGACGAACAATACAAACATTCCTCTCTGTTCGAGCCGCCGTGTGGGCCCCGTGGCGGACCCCTGAGCGCGCGCCCGCCATGACATCTGAGGCCAGAGGCACCGACATCGCCAAGGTTGCAGACGTTGCACACGATGAAGCTCCAGCCTCGATGGACGGGACATGCAGAAGAGGAGGAGCAGAAGGAGCAGCAGGAGGAAGAGCAGGAGGAGAAGGGGAGGAGGAGGAGGAGGAGGAGGAGGAGGAGGAGGAGGAGGAGGAGGAGGAGGAGGAGGAGGAGAGGAGGAGGAGGAGGAGTGGGGAGGACAAAGTAGGGGCGAGGGAAGAGGCTGATCAAGAGGAGGGGTGGGGAGAGAAAGGCGCACCAGAGAGAAGAGACGAGGAGGGCTCCCAAAACCATGCAGGGTCCCTCTTGGGGCCCACGGGGGTGCCCTGGGCCTGGTGGCGGACGAGGACGGAGGCACACCCGCGCTGGTGGGGCAACGGTTTTGTACACGTGGACGGGAGGAGGAGGAGGAAGAGAAGGACGGAGGAGGAGGAGGAGGAGGAGGAGGAGAGGAGGAGAGGAGGAGGAGAGGAGGAGGAGGAGGAGGAGGAGGAGAGGGAGGAGTGAGAGGGAGGGGAGGAGGAGGAGGAGGAGGAGGAAGAGGAGGGAGGAGGAGGAGGAGGACGACGACGACGACGACGATGAAAGCTGCACCAGAGCCGGGGGAGGTCGTGCCCGCGACAGAGCACAGAAAGGAAGGGGGAACAGCAACAGGCGGGCCCGCGCCCGTCCTGCTCCCCAAATTCCTCCTCCTCCTCCTCCTCCTCCTCCTCCTCCTCCCCCTCCCCTCCCCTCTCTCCTCCTCCTCCTCCCTCCTCCCCCTCCTCCTCCCCCTCCTCCTCCTCCTCCGAGCCTCGATCCGCAGCGTGCCCTGCGGGCCCGGAGACCACACGCTCTCAAGACTCTGTGGGCTGCCCGTATTCCTACAGACGTTTCCTATCCGAACGAGAGAGAGAGAGAGAGAGAGAGAGAAAAAAAGAGGTAGGGAGGAACCCGTCCGAGCACTGTTCCGCGTGTCTTCCTCCTGCTAACCTTCTGTGCCGTCCGACTGACCCGGCGTGGGAGAAACTGGGAACGAGAGGAGAGCGGGGAGATGAGGGCGGGGGGGTTTGCAAAAAAACGAAGGATTGCAAACAAAAAGATTGCAAACAGGTTTTTTTGCAATCCTGCAATCCCTCGGTTTTTTTTAGCAATCCTTTTTTTTGCAATCCTTCGTCTTTTTACAATCCTTCGTTCGAAAGAGCAGCAACGTGCCCTGGTTGCACGCGGCAGCACGCGGCAGCACGCGGGTGCAGGCGACTGTCAGCAGGCAACCGCTGTGCATGCACGGCCAAAACGTATGTCAGTGACGGGTGGCAGTGACGAAGGACCCTTGGATGCCGAAGTGTTTCTTGGGCAGCGGGAGACCAGTGAGAGCGGCAAATGACGGGCCGCAGAGGCAAGGACACAGGTGTACATGAAGGCGCGCGTCCTTGCTAGGCACGCTGACTGCAGTTCGTCAGGCGGCCCTGGGCGCTCCAGCAAGCGTCGCCGCACGGCCGCAGGCCAAGCCTCCTCGCCGCCCCCCGCGCGCGGGGCGGCGGGGAGCAGCAGCCCGGAGGCGCATGGCCACCCATGCAGACCTCTGGGAAGCGACGTGGCCCCGCCAGGCGCGACGGGCGAACAGTACCCTCGCCGTGGCGGCCGCTCCAGAGCCGGGCGCCGCGTGCTGCGGCCCAGGGGCCGCAGCTTGGGCCGCGGCGGCCGCGGCTGAGGGGGGGGCATCCGCCCAGCAGAGCGCGCGGCGGAGGCGGCGCCCTGCCGCCGTCCAGCGCTGCCACACGCACGGCCCCGCCCCCCCCGGGCCGAGCCCCTGGGTGGTCTTCAGGGCCTCCAAGTCAACCACGGCGAGCACGCGCTACACTGACCAGAGGGCGACCAGCTGTCGCTCGCGTTCCTGGCGCAGCGCCGGCGGGGGAAGCCAGGCCCCAGCCGCCGCGCCTGCGAGGCGGTCCGCCGCGGAGTTGTCGGCGCGGAGCTGGGGAGACGCGCCGTGCTCAGCGGCCCACGCGGCCTCGAAGCGGCTCTTCACCCATCGTGACGCCACCGTGCGGCCAGCGCGCCGCTCCGGCAGTGAGGGGCGATCATGTCCCCGATGTCCGCGTGCACCCAGTCATCTGGGGAGGCGCCGCCGTGGATCGCAGCGACACCGTTGCTAGCGAAAGAGGTGTCAACTACCACCTTGATAAGGACCCCCCCGTCAGGCAGAGTGCTCGCGCCGCGGCCGTGAGTTCCGCCCGCTGCGCTGCCTGGGCGGCACCAACAGCCCCGCAGTGGTCCTGGCTACCCACCGCGCCCTGGGCCAGTCGCACTCCCCGACCTGTTTTGGCGGGGAGGGGGTCGGTTGGGTGTGCGCAAGCGCCGTCCGTCCAGGCGAGCGCCTGTGGCAAGCTGGCGTCGGGGGCTGGCAGAACCAGGAGCGGCGGGGGCCAACGCGCCTGGATCGCCAGCGCGGACAGCTGCGGATGCTGCGGCAGCAACGCGGCAGCGCCCCAGCGAGCGAAATTTCCGCCGGTAGCCGCGGTAGCCGCGCGCGGGCTGCCGCGCGCGTGCGATGCCCTCGGCGGCCAGCGCGGCGGCGCGGGCGGGCTCCCGGCAGAGGCAGACCCAAAACCTCCGTTCCAAACCGACGCGCGCAACGCCGCAGTGCGAACACGCCGCTGGGCGTCCCCACTTCGCCGCCACCGCCTCCGTGACGACGTTCCCAGAGAGCACGGCGCGGACCGCAACGTCGGCCGCCAGTTCGCCGCTGTCGAGGAGCTGCCTGGTGGCCCAACTGTCGACGATGGCGGCCAGGTGTTGATAGGCAACGCGCCGCCCAGCCACCTCGCGCTCCTTCTCCTCCTCCTCCTCCTCCTCCTTCTCCTCCTCTTCCTCCTCCTCCTCCTCTTCCTCCTCTTCCTCCTCCACCACCACCACCACCACCACCACCACCACCACCACCACCACCACCACCACCACCACCCACCATCACCATCACCATCACCATCACCATCACCATCACCATCACCATCACCATCACCATCACCATCACCATCATCATCATCATCATCATCATCATCATCATCATCATCATCATCATCATCATCATCATCATCATCATCATCATCATCATCCCCCTCCCTCCTGCATCCTCCTCCTCCACCTCATTCTTCCCCTCGTCCTCTCCTCTTCTCCCCCGAGCAGTCAAAGGAGCGGGAACATGCTGCGCTTGAGAGCCGAACGGCGCTGCAGACCAAGCCGCCCCCTGCCTCCCAGCACCTAAGGCGAAGTTTCCAGGCTGGGCTCCTGGCGGACAAAGGGGAGGAGGATGATGATGATGAGGAGGAGGAGGAGGAGGAGGAGGAGCGACTCTCCCCCTGCGCGAAAGCGAGGGCGGGGGGAGGGAGCAACGAGGGACTCGAGCGTGATCTGAACCGATCCGCATCTCAAAGGCAGAAGGTGGAGCGCAAGGAGCAGGGCGTGTCAGGAGGCGGTCGCCTGATTGTCAGCGGTTGTTTTAGATTATGGGTAGCTCCAGGGAAGCATTATCCTTCTGCTAGTCTGCCCCCCTCCTCCTCCAGATCATGATATTCCTTCCTTACCTCGTCCTTATCATGTCTTCGCTCCTTGTCCCTATTTTTTCTCCTCCTCCTTCTCCTTCTCCTCCTGCTCCTCTCGCCTCTCGTAGTGATCCTCCCCCTGATGTCCCTTCTCCTTCGCCTCATGGTCCAAACTCCTTCACCATATCCTTCTCATCATGCTCCTCTTCATCCTCCTCATTCTCTTTCCCCTCACACCCTCCTCTTCAACATCCTCGGTCTCGCCCACCTCTCATGTGTCTCTTCTTACACATGTCCTCCCTCCCTCCATCATCGACACTATTTTCATCATTACCGTCATCGTCATCGTCATCGTCAGCAGCATCATCATCATAATCAGCATCAGCATCGTCATCATCATTATCATCATCATAATCCTTCTCCTCCCCCCCCTCATCACCATCATCAGCATCACCACCAGCATCATCATCATCATCAGCATCATCATCATCATCATCATCATCATCATCATCATCATAATCATCATCATCAGCATCATCATCATCGTCAGCACCATCATCACCATCCTCATCATCAACAACATCATCAACACCGTAAGCATCATCACCATCAGCATCATCATCATTTGCATCATCATCAGCATCAGCATCATCTGCATCAGCATCATCTTCAACATCATCATCATCATCATCATCATCATCATCATCATCATCATCGTCAGCATCATCATCATCATCATCATCATCATCATCATCATCATCATCATCATCATCTTCGTCATCATCACCATCAGCAGCATCAGCATCATCCTCACTACCCTCACCATCCTCAGCCTCATCAACATCTGGACCAGCATCAATCACATCATCACCACGTCATCAGAATCATCGCCATCATCACCATCAGCAGCATCAGTATAATCATCATAATCAGCATCAACATCATCATCAGCAGCATCAGCATCAGCATCAGCATCATCAACATCAGCGCCATCTTCAACAGCATCATCATCAGCATCAGCATCAGCATCATCGTCAGCATGATCATCAGCTTCGTCATCATCACCATCAGCAGCATCCTCAGCATCGTCCTCATTATCAACGTCATCAACATCATCAGCATCATAACCGCCATCAACAACAGCGTCATCATGACGTCAACATCATCATTGTCGTCATGATCACCATCAACAGCAGCATCCGCATCACCATCATCATCCTCATCCACATCATAGCCAATATCAATAACACCATCATCGCCACCATCATGACCATAATTGTCACCATCACCACCATCAGCATAATCGACGACATCATCATCATCGCCACAAGCATCACCATAATCATCATAATCAGCACCATCATGAGCATCACCATCATAATCGTATCAACATCCCCATCATAATCATCATCACCATCAATGTCACCATCTTCATCATCAGCAGCATCACCAGCAACACCATCACCATCGCCAACAACATC